TTGCTACAGTTTCTGACATCACTCAGTTATCTCCTGCTGACTGCACTGTGCAGCATAAAATTGTAGGTTAGCAGCACCTACCTGAGCCATTTTGAATGATACTAGTCTCCATTTTAGAGAATTAACTGCCGTTGTTTGTACTAGGCGATCCAGGTTTCATGAAAATACTGCTTTATGGTAACATATGGATTTATGTGATTCATATTTTCATAACAGATTTAGAGACTAAATTCATCCATTCATTCAAATTGCAATGAGAAAAGTATTTTTTCCTCACCTCCCTATTACATAGACAAGCTTTTCAGAGCGAGATCAGAACATAGGTGCTTTGAACTTCTGGTTTCTCTTTGATTCTCAAGGAAACCTAGATGCTGCAAATTAGGCGATGTGATTAGCTCCTTAAGGATCATATTTTGGTTAAATAATATTAAGTAATTTGAAAGAAATGCTTCATAGTAATTTAAAGGCTTTTAATCACAGTGATTGAAAGGCTATTGCTAGCAGATTTGGTCAGTATTCTGAAATATTTGAGAATAATGCCCTTTCTTCAATCATAGTATTTGATGTATAAAATACAAAAAGAAACCTTCAATGTGGAAAGGGTTGCACTTTGACTTGAAAATGGTGTTGAATTCTGGATTCTTTCATATCTTTCATGGTTTTATATTTCATGGGATAGGGTCAGTAGAAAGAACTGGTAGGGTTTTGTTGATATTAATGTTTTTTATTATATCGACTTTTTAATTTGGTATTTGAACTGTTGTATATTTAGGATGCATCTCTCATATCAACAGTAAATTCCTTGTCGTCTTCACCTTTTCTCAGTGTCATTCATACATTTATACATTGCTGATTTATTAATGTATTTTTATTGGCTGCTCTGCTACATGTTTTGTTGTTGAAGGCATCTGCCATGATGACCTGCAAGATCTTTAGTGAATTCTTAATACGTTTCTAGAGTTCATTGCATACTAGGGCCTTGGCTTGCAATAAATTATATGCGTGATATATCTTTGGGAACCATGAATTTTGCTTGTGCTCCAAGATGACCACAAACTGTGTTAAAGAGAGCGCTGAGCTTAAGTTAATATTTGCTGGCTCTTAGCTGAACTGATTTGTCAAGACTCAGCACTGTGATATTGTAAGTTACCCAGCATGTGGTTGGCCTAGATGGTAGAAAAGGGAGCTTATATCTTGATTGTAAAATGATATGTAGGTCAACCCTTTCTCTCCTGGAAAACCAATTTATTCCTTGCTTTGGATAGTTTGTTTGTGATTTATGTAGAGAATTGCTAACTGCTCCTTTTTTCTTGGGAGTTTAGGTGACCTTTTGCAGTTTCCAAGAATGAGGTAATTATATATTTTAAAGACTGAGGTCTTGAAACTTACTTAATATTAAGAGAAAAGAATACAGTGAATAGAAGACAAATTCAAGGTGCTCTTAATAGCACAATACAACTCCATGAGGGCTGGCAGTTTCATGTGCAGGAAAATTATATTGTTGTTGCTCAGGTATGAGAGCAAGTGCAAGAGCAAGCAACCTATTACCAGGGCCAGCCCACCAGAAGTGCAAGGAGAGCACATAGCGGTGCAAGGATACTCTCTGGTAGGTTGCGTAGGAGTAAAGGTGAATGCGACTTAAATACTTCTCTATTGCAAATTGCCTTCGCTTGACTAATTGTGGATCCATGTCTCTATTGGAGGGAAAATGTCTTGAGTTAACATTAAAGAACAATATGTTGGGAGTCTTAGATCAAAATAGCAGTGGATAGTTTAAACCCTATTAAAAGCATGTTTGTCCTTATGTATACAGACAGAAAAAAAAAAAGGCAGAATCTTTGGAAAATAATAAGTAAATTATTTGTACCCTACAGACTATCAGATCTGAAGCATATACCGCCATGAGTTATAAAGTAGATATTAGTCTCAGAATTATTCCTTACTGTTCGGTTCTTTTCCCAAAATCTAATGACGACTACTTTTTGTATACATACTGCTTTTCTGCCTTTTGCTGTGCTTCACTGAAGGCGGAGTACATCTTTCATGGACAGGGAAATGGGGAGAGGGGTAAGAATCTCACCATAACACCAGGAAAGAGGCTTCTAAATGCCAGCTGTGTTCAGTTAATAGTTTACAGTTCTTTTCAATTATGGTTTTCAGTTATGGTTCATATATTCCTGTTTTGATTCCATGATAATTCAGTTCCAAATTTTCAACTTCGTAACATTAAAAGAATATAAACATCTCAAAATTTAGAACATAAACACTCTAAAACATAGATGTAGACTTTATTCTGTTTCCACACAATGAATGTAGTAAGATGCAATCATTCACATCTCAGTAACTACGAAGTTTTAGTTGTGGAATATGGATGTAAGAAATTGTCATATGCAATATTTAGGGATTCCAAGAATGTTTTAACATTGGTGGCATAAAATTCCCAATATTTACCACTCTTACTAAAGCGTTTTAGCAATTTTTCCCTCATATGTTATATGTTAAACTACATAAAGAGCTGGTAACAAGTTAGTGAGAAAACTATTGCCAGTATTCCTGTTTGCACTTTGTCCATCAGGTACTTGAACCATATTTATTAATAATTGCTGTTTCTGAGTTGGCAAATTATTCCAAAGCCTATAGAGCTGTTTTAGGCATCAAGGAAATATTAGCTCTCCTTTTGTCTGCTCAGTTTTTCTAACATAACTATTACCTACTAATTTTATTATTCAGTCGACCAGCTTTCATTAATATCAGGCAATTTGAATTTGTCCATAAACAAGAAATTATCTTTGTACATTTATTTGTATTGTCCTGGTACCTACCTTTGTTCAGTAGGCAATTAAAGAATATTTTCTCCTCATGTTCTTTGTTGCCTTAATTACTTTCATTGTCAACAGCATGATTTAATTCTAATGAGAGCCCATTTGTTCCTTTTTTTTTAATCATATCCTCTAGCCTTTGTTTAATGCTTTTCAGTGTATTCTAGAAAGGTTGCCCCCTGTAACTTGTTCAAATGAGGTGGAAGCTATCCAAAATGCCTCTTGCAATAGAAAGTGGCCAATGTTTCATGAGACCAGATATTTCTAAATAATATTGCCTGCCAGGCTACTGGCTTCTTGCTGCATTCTTCTGCCTTTTGGCTTTCTTCATGCTAAAGACAGAAAGTCACCCCAATGGGAGGTTACTTGTATGTGCTTATTCTCCGGTACTCTTCTAAATTCATCTGCGTAATCTGCAGTCTCTGAGGTGTTACAGAAGCGCTTGATAAATGCAAATATGGATCCTTATTCACCAAGTTTACAATTTAGTCCAATTCTGGTCAGTTCTGATGTCTTCACTTAAAGAAGGCAACGCATGCTATCTGCCTCTCTGTGGCAGAGTATCATTTCTGCTGTCAGGAATCCATGGTGAGCTTTATTTGTCGTCTTTGGAGACAGAAGTCCAGTGGGAACAGCAGTATTTGTACTGAACATTGAAATAAAATGGAGAAATAGGCTTATTTATTAGCTTTTAGGACACATTTTTAATGTAGGAGAATAATTCTGCTGTGGCTTATGATGAAATTTGCTGGGTGGATAATGAAATAATTTAAAAGAACGCAATTCTTACAGTAAAAAAATGTCGATCTATCAATCACCTCTTTAATGTTCTGTTATCTTTAAAAAACATTTTTCAATAGCAACTATCAGTTGTGGGGTATGCCATCTTAGCTTGTGTGTATGCTAGTGTTTTGTGTTCTAACAGTAGCACAGTTGTGCAGTGTGCTCTCCCTCATCTCTTCCACTTACTATGTGTCGGTTTCAGCTCTGTTCAAACTAGGCTTCAGAGGAAATTCATCCAGAAGCTCTACTCTAAGTATTCATTAAGCACTTTCTAACCTCTAATAGGGATGTAAGGTCTAAACTAGTGATTGGTCCCTTGAACACCTTCAGACTACATTGTGTGGTTGGAACACTGGATCAGGGGCCAGACATGATCTGCTCCTGAATGGCACAGAATCCGTAGATGAAAAAGCCTCAGCACAAAATGCTTTGATTTGCTGAGCTGTTGCTTTTGCTCCAGCTTGCTTTCTAATGTAGGCTTAACCTTAGAAACAGAGAAGAATGTTTTAGCTTCTGTCACCATGCATTCATATTCAGCCATTCGGTGGTATTTTAGCTTGAGTATATAATTTATTGAATAATTAAAAATATTGACAAAATACTCATGCACACCTTTGCTATTGGGGAGCTTCATTTAAGCAGTCTTTGTATCCTGGACAACACAGAAATAGCAGCAATTTCAGCATATACTAATAAAGACTAGAACCCTGGGAAATAGTTATATCATGACAGGCTTCTCTGGGCAGAGTAAATATGTGATTTGAAGCAACAATATTTGCTGTCGAGGTCAATTGGATTTAAAACTAATATTGTCTTTCATTTTAATCAGAAAAGTCTTCAGTCAGGGAAAATACGTAAGTGGTTTTATTTTTTGTCCAACTGAACTGGCTCAAAGATTTTCCTGTTTTTGTCTGTTTTGATCTGTATGATACTAGTTCCCTATTTTATAGCTTTGTGAATACTGTGGATGCTACTGTTCCTCAGCCCCAAGGACAAACTGAAAAGATGTTAAATTATAAAGTATCTGACCTTGGTACGTTTTCTGTACATGAACAGAAGAGTTAAGACAGTGACAAAGGGTTAGAGGAAGAAGAAATCTAGTACTTCTCTAATGTAGCAGAATGGCTGTGCAAAGAGGGATTTTAAGCAATCAAGGCAATGCAAGCTAATTTGCGAATGATAGTATAAATTATGTGCAGATTATTTCAGATTGTTTGAATTAACTCTAGAGGTATTTTTAGAGCAACTTTGTTTGGTTTAATGAAAACTATTATTAAATCATTAGTCAATTGAAAATAGTTATTTGATTTTCTGTGTCTGTAAACTATCATATTCATATGCCATCATTATTATCCTTTAAATAATATGCCTACTCAGGATTATATCTGTTTGGTTAAAATGGTCAAGTTCCTCTTAGTAACATCTCTACTTTACTTGCAGGTTGTATATAAAAATAATGATGTCAGGTTGGAGTTATCTCGACTTGCCAAGCAAGGAGATCCTAAAATGAAGATTCATGGGGTTGTAGCATTTAAATGTGAGAATGTTGCAACCCTAGATCCAATCACATTTGAAACACCAGAGTCTTTCATCTCTTTGCCAAAGTGGAATGCCAAGAAAACAGGCTCAATATCGTTTGATTTTCGTACAACTGAGCCAAATGGCCTGATTCTTTTCAGTCATGGAAAACCAAGGCACCAAAAAGATGCCAAACACCCACAGATGGTGAAGGTTGACTTTTTTGCCATTGAGATGCTTGATGGCCACCTCTACCTGCTGCTAGACATGGGATCAGGTACTATAAAAATAAAAGCCCTGCAGAAGAAGGTGAATGATGGTGAATGGTACCATGTGGATTTTCAACGGGATGGGCGGTCAGGTAAGCTTCTTTTAATATTGAGTATGATTTTTTCATGTTGCATCCTGGAGAACACTGGGTATATAGAATGTTGCCACCATTAGAGTTGTGCTTCATCTGGAAAATAAGGGAAATATAAGAAGTCATTAGTGTCAGGTACCAGAATACAATGATTTGCAGAGTAAAATATCTTATGTTAACATTTATTGGGTAATCAGGTACTTAATCTTGCAAGTAAGTGTGCTGTGTACTTCAAAAACAAACAGTAATCTCCCTGTGTGCTTGCTTACACCAAATAGCTGAAGTGGCAAGTTTCAAGAATAAAAACCAAGGAAAAAAGAATTACTGAAAGTAATCTCCAACACAGGGAAGAGTTGGGCCAAAGAAACAGCACAGACCTTCCAATCGTGTCAGCAGATCTCAGCATAATTAAATGATATGCTAATGAATGGCTAACAACACTTATCAGCAGAAATGGAAATAAGTGAATTGCCACATTCCGTCAGAATGATTCCTATTCTGTAGTAGATTATTTGACAAATGATCTCACTGAAAAGGATAAAAAATAAAGAATTCATAAACTCTTCCTAATTCTACTCAAATCTCTTATAGCATAAAATGCATTTAAATAGTGAAATGGTCCTTGTGTTTGAGCTGCATCTGATCTAGAGTATTTATGTTGATTTCAGCAAATAATCAATATCCATTAATTGAAGGACAAATCTATTCTATGGTATCTTTCCTGTAGCTCATGCCAAGATTTAGGGGTGGGTGGGGAATGTACTGAATCTGTAATTCAATCCATCAAAGAATTTTCTGATTAATATCACTATCCAATCTGAAGTTCATGTACACTCTGAAATTGAGTGTTAAAAAATCTAAAATCCTCTTCTTTTGGATTTTGTGGGGTTCCCCCCACTTTTTTTCCTAGTGACTCCTTTTCCATGACTTGCATTTATAATTTCTTTCTGAAACTTCACCCCAAAAAAGTTATTGTTTTATGGCTTACTTTACTACCCACAAATCAGATTTCAGATCAAGCGAATATTAGGTGCAGGTTTAAACTGAAGGTTTCAGTCAAATCCATGCTGAAAGTCAGACCAAATTCAATTGATCAGTCTGCCCCAGGATTATGAAAAATAATGATTTGATTCCTGGGCTGTGCTGCTTCAAATTCTGATTGTAGAGAGTTTGATTTTCTGATTATAATGTCAGTTGCTTATTTACATTTCCTGAGGTTAAAAACAAACAAACAAACATCTCAAACAACAGAACACACAACTTCTCAAAATCCTCAGTTCTTATCGAATATCCAGCAGTTATATTATTTATACTACAATCTTCATTTCAGGCTTCCTTCTTAAGTGCTATTTCAGTGATTCGCATGAGGCAGTAAATCCTGTCATAATCATGCCTGTGGGACTCTACTGAAAGCAAAGTTTATTCTTACATCCAAAGTAAACACAACTATAAAGAAAAGAAATAAATGCATAGCAGTTGTTTACATTTGAAGATATGTGCTGCACTTTCATTGCTTCACAAACACTGTAGCTCACAACTGCCATTAAGAGAGTTTTAGGGCATACTTTATTTAAATCTTTAAAACTGTTGGTGGACATCAGCAAGAATATAGACTAATTTGGGGAAGCAATACACACCTGGCAATCAGGACTGCATATTATTTTTAAGTAGCATTATAAACAGTCAAATATATAGGAAAACCAAAAATTAATCCAGCTGATGAATCACCTATGATCAAGATGGGTGAACTTTATTTACCCTGCTACCCTTGAAAACTGACCATAATACCTATTTGCCCTAAAACATTGAACTATTACCAGGAATAGTTAATAAATAGTAGGCATATGCACTGACAAACTGAATTTTTAGCTGAAATCTGAACCAGACATCAAAGATTTTCTGCAATTTTAATACATACAATAATACTTTACAGTAGAAGTACCAATAACAGTGGCAATGCTGTTGTTTTTCTTAATGAGAATATTGGCTCAATAGTATCTTAGACTGTCAGATTTAACCAAGTAAAATGACTGCCTAACAATTAAAATAAACAATGTTCCTATTTTCTTCTGATTGGAACATAAAGTACCGATGTGTTATGTTTAGATTATTTCTTAATGACTTATGCATGTTGGTCTATTATGCTTTTTCCCATGAATAATAAAATCCACTTTACTATTCCAGGAATCTTTTTCGTTTATTTTCTCTAGCCAAAACCAAACATACTGGAAATCATATGAATATGATCACTTTTCACTTGCTTACTTTCAGAATTTTTGTAGAAGTGAATGAATGTACCTTCTATTAAAAAAAAAAAAAAAAGGCTTGTCTAAGACTTTCTTGTTGCTGCTGACAAAATACTTCCCAATCTATCAATTATAAAGGAAGAGATTCTCCTGTTAATGAATAAATAGCTCAAATAACCTGTGGTTATTTTTTTAAGTGAAGTTTGCTGTCTTGCAACCTTTTACTCCTAGCCTTCAAATCCAATGCAGTGTGGTTCCCTCAGATAATAGAAAGCTGTGACATTTCTCAAGGAGCTTTGCTAATTTCCTTGACTTTCGTATTAGCTGGGATCAGCAAGTACTCGATTTATTTTTCATTCTTTGCTCTCTTCCGGACCCTCAGTCACAGGGAGCATCCGCTCCAAACTACTGGCTTTGCCACTGCCCATCTGGGACTGCAGTGGGGAGACGTAAGGAATGAGATCACGTTTTTAAACTGTACTTATCCAGACCCAATTCACTAGTAGTTCTGCTGATCCTCTCAGATTTTGGGAGATACAAGGAAGGGGGAAGAGATGGTGCCCTTTAATTTCCTTTTGCTGAGGGAACTTTTGACTTATTATTCTTAAGAAGTTTTTTGACCCTAAAATCCCATCCTGCTGCCTGTAAGACCTGCCCTGAGTGCTTCCTTACCTAAAAAGCAGCTCTTTGGTAAGAAGGAACTCCTGAGACCCTATTTCCCGGGGTTAAGTAAAGAAAAATTTCATACCTTCTCCATTGGTGCATCTTTCTTGCTAGGTATGCAGCAGAGGAAAGAGAACACACATTCTCTAGCAGTCTCTTTTTTGTTAAGTATACAGCAGAGGACACAACCTGTTACCAACTGCTGCGTCCAGTCATGTGAACCGAGTTATTCATGGTTATTCTGAATTCCTGCAAAGGACAGTAGCTTCATAGCTGTTTCACATGTGCCCTGTCTTGGCCACAGGCTGTATGCTGTGGTCACAGTCCTCATCACAGCTACTATAATATACTTTAGCATGCAAGATGTAAAGTGGATTTGGAATACCTTGCTCTGATTTTTCACCATTTCTTGATAAGCAAATGTGTTTCACATGCACAAAAAGCAACTAAATAGGCCACATAAGGTAAGCATTGTAGCAGCTGTAGTTACAATCTTCATATTTAACTGATCAGAATTGAGACAAGCTTTAGAAATATGTCTTAGTTTCTTACACACAGACTTATGAAAAAGTAAATTGCTGAGATAATGAATATAATTGGAGAGGCTCATTAACTCATACCTAAGGGAAATGTTTGTCTGTTCTGCTTTTAACAGTACTGCCAACTCTGCAGTAAAAGAATGGGGGGAGGACCCAAAAACCCAAACTACAAAAACCAACCATGAAGGAGCTGTAAAGGTCTCTGCTCACAGTGTTTCTTGTAACACAGTAGAGTTAGGTTTAATAACTGTTTTCTGAGACTTGACTATTGTTGAAAATTTTGTTAAACTGTTTACCATATTCAAGGATAACCTTGCAAGTGTCTTTTGACTAAACTGCCATCCATCCTTTGGAAATCATCATCGCACAGTGTAATAGGAGAGAAAACTTGCTCTTCTTGTCAACCTCCAGTTGTATATGGCAGCGTAAAACAATGTATTAGAATGTATTCATAGGTAGGTTGCATTTAAGGGCTAAGAAGTCATTCAAATTTTGAACTAAAGTTAGAGCTTCAGCTTAAACACCTGAAATTATCTCTAGAGTATGTAATTAGAACTTAACTATAATCAGTATCTCACTGTAAGTAGTTCTTTGTTGATATCCATTACGTGCATTGTTGTTGCAGGTTCATTTTTTACATGCACATTTCTATATACTCCTTCCCCCATCTTTCCAACCTTTTAAGAACTGCCAGATTTACATATTCCTATTTCAACAAATGTTAAGCATTTACATATTTGAGATATTAGGTTTATCTTGCATTTTAAGGAAAATTCTTCCAATGATCTTGTTAGTGTTTTTCATTTATTCATAAGCTCATAGAAAAATTGAGATGGGGTGACCTTGAAAGGTCCTCTATTTTACCTGTCCAGTGAAAGTAGGGATAGTGTACTTGCATCAGTCTTGACAGATGTTTTTTTGAGTTACCTCCAGCACTGGATGCTGTACAACCTCTTCATGTAATCATTCATAAATATTTCTGGATGCAAAACAAGCCATTTTGCCCATCATTTCCTTGTTCACAGCAGGCACAAAATACACCACAGTTTTCTCCTGTGTCCTAGCTCTATATTTTTTTGATTTGAATGCTTTTGTATCAGTCTCCAGTTTTCTTCATAGACTAAGAAACCCCAGCTGCTTCCTATCCTTGTATGTCATGTTCTGTAGCTATTGACCATTTTTATTGCCATCTTCTGCCATCTCCTCAGCTGATCTGCATCTTTCTCAGAGTTCAAGGTAAACCTTACCAATGCTCAATAAAGTGGTACAATAGGCTTCTCTATACCTCCTAATATATTTCCCATTTTGCTCATATGTATGTTATTGTTGACTCTTCCTTTGAAGAACTGCCCTCTAATCAGTTATCCTTTAAGTCAATAAATCTTGCTGAAAATCATAAATTTATTAGTTTTTCTCAAACTGTTCCTCCAATACATAGTTTTCTGAATGTTTAAATTTTACTTTGTTCTCAGGTGAAATGCTGTAGAATCAGAGTACCTGTAGATCATTATAGGACCTTTAAATGTATGTCCAGTTTTTGGAGATAAGAAATGCTACCTATTTTTAGAGTCTGAAGCTAGATCATGAATTCTCAGACTAAACCACTCCACACCATCTTGTCTTTCAGTCTTCCACTTTTTCTTCATTCAGGCTGGACAAACCAAATGCTATCAGCTTTTCCCATTTCTTTCTTTTTCTGGCAGAAATACAGACAATATTTCCCACTTCGAGTATTAAAAAAACTTTGCAAGGAAGCTGCTTGTTTCCTGGCAGACATTATTGGTTCAGCGTTGTTCTTTTCAAAGAAATAGTATAACTACTGATCAGGTTATGGCGGCTGTTATGCTAGCTGCTATGCAAAGATATAACTGAAAGGATGGTTCTTACTACAGAGATGTTACAATTTAAGGTTATAGTTTTCACTTTCCATTGAGAAGCCAACACTCTTCTGAATCTGCTGCTTCCTCATCATTTTCTGTTGACTTTGGGTTATTTTGTAAAATGAGATGCGTCCCATCCTTTTCCCTCTTACACAACTTGACAATTCTGCAATGAGAAGGGTTGATGTTACATTATCTTTACAGGGCAAATTATTAAACTTTTCCTGTGCTGGGCACATAAGACATTCATATGGTCCATTAGCTTCCCTTCTTCCTGCTTCTCTGGAAAGTGATGTCTCTTCACATTCCTAAGTAGAAACAACCAAATGGATTGGAGCACACTGGTGATTTGACAGAACAATTCCTTTTAATCTGCCTATAATTGCCAGAAAAAGTAAGATTGAAATCCAGCAGAGGGGATGTGCATTGCTATCCCCAGATTCTGTGGTAGCATCTGCCATTGTCATGAGATCCAGCCTGAGATGGTTTCAGTAGAACGTGAAAACTTTACCTCAAAAAAGATGACAGGCTTAAAAAAACCCAAGAAAACTCCCAAAACCTCAAACAACAAAACAAAACAAAAAATCCTCAGCCAGATGAAACAGCACACTCTAAACTCTGTGTCACAGCTCTGGATGCACTGTGAATCCAAAGGTGGTTTATAGACCCATTATTTATTTTCTGTACTTGAGTTCTGCATTTTATTTTAGAATATTTTGAAAAAAACCCTATAATTTTGGATGTATTTTGTAAGTCCTCTTTTATTCCCCCTGGATTTTTTCACTTGCATTTACAAAGCAAGTGAAGTTTGCATTGCCTATCAGAGATACAGAAAAGGTAATTTGGATACCAGCAGCAGTGATGGTTGTACGGCTGCCTGGACATGCTGTTAGAAGTTCAGCCAGAAAGTAGGCTAACTTGCCAATTGAGACCATGAAAATTTTGGTGCCCAGGCGTGGGTTTTCTGCTATTAGCTATACTAAAGCCTATGTGTATTATAGCCAGAGTTCTTGTTCTAAACAGTGTGCTGTATGATATTTTGGTCGAGCTCCTACATAACAGCTTCGAATCTTATGCAGGTGCTATTTGACTCAATGTAGCTCTCAATAAAAAGGATTAAATAAAGCTAACTTACGGTTGCTTGATTAAGGGTAATACGTACAGTATGTAGGTCGGTTGAAGTGTCATGGATATGTCCAGCAGTAAACTGGAGATAGTCCAGCTGGGTAATAGGGGTTCCATGGCCTTCCAAAACATGAAAAAGATGTACAGAAAAGTTCTTGCCTGTTGTGTTTTTCTACTCATAGTCATTAGATGCTTTGATTACACAAAGATTTCAGAGGGCTTCTCCAAAGGAGTATTTTATGTGGTGTCATTTCTTGGGGAAGGGAAAGAAGAGTTCATTTCTTTAAGAAGCTGTTGATACCTATTAAAAATAATATTTAAGCTCTCTCCAGGGTAATCTTTTATGACATACAGCAGAAAATTTTCCTGCTTCAATCTATCACCTAACTATAATTCACAGTCACCAGAGTGTAGCGGTGATCTACAGTTCCCTCTATCATGCACCTTTCTCAGCCTTCTGTGCTTGCAGAACTTACATTTTGAACCCCTGTGTTAATGTCGCAGCTACACTGGCTTTTCCTGTACATTGAAAGCCATCAAGACTTAGGTGAGTTGGTTTTTTTTTAATAGAAATGGAGTCGTCAATTTCTTCTAGCATCAGGGATAGCTTGAAAGCGTAAGTGTCTTTGTCCAGCAGAAAACAGCACTGTGCAAATGCATGAACTTGAGGTTGGAGGCTGCAGCCGAGTTAATTTGCATCAGTCCAAGCTCTGCCTGAACATAGGTGTAAAGAATTTGGTCCTAAATTAGCCTGTACAGCAAGAGATGGGAGCCTCCTTTTTAAAAAGAGAAATGATCTATTACCTGTAAGCAGTCCTGTTTTATACCTCAGAAAAGTTAGCTGTCTTGGTTTAACAGGTCATTCAGAGGTGTCCTCATTTGAGGCAGCTGATTAATAAAATCAAACCTCAAAATGTTTATGCTGGTATGCCTAAGGTCAAATCTATAGCAAGTGTTCCTTACAAATGCTAAGTTTAGCTTCAAGAATCTGAGCAGCAATACAAATATTTGAGTTAGCAAAATGTAATAGTCTTATCAGTTTTGAACAGGTGGAGGCTTGGAAGAAAAAGGATCTTGGTTCAACATGCCAATTTCTGACAGTTAAGTCTGGAAGTTCACTTTACATCTATGTGATTATTCAACTGACACAAAAAACATTACTCGTAATACATAAAAAGGGAAAACTGACCACATCCTCAAACGTTCTTTAAACATGCTCATAAAGATGCACAAAGGCTATGCAAACCTTTGTTTTATCTTTTTAGATCTCTTCTGATAGTAGGGAGACTTTGTAGTAGCAGTAGTATCCAGCGCATCTAAAATCCATACGTCTCAAGTCTTACGTGGGAGTTGGATCTCCTGAGACCTCTACCCCAAAGAGCTTTTACTAAAGGTCCAAACTATTTAGATATTCATTCTATCCATGTTGTTGAAGTTAACTTATTGAACCAACAAAAGAACAAACAAAATATGTAGCTCCCACAGGACTCCTCTTTATTGCTAAAAGAGAAGCCTAAATTTTAAGATGTATACAAATAAGAGAATCATCTTTTTCTGACCTGCCTCTGTTTGCTTAAAACTCACATTTTTGTATTTATGCTATAAAAATTCTGAATTTATTATTCTCAAGCACCACTCCCACCACAGTGAAAGTATTTTTGATAATCGGTGTAATCTTCTGGAATCTGTGTCATGTTGATAGTGGAAATAGTGAATCATGTTAGTTTTATAGATATAGGTATGATAAATACATTGTGGTAAATGTGATTCTTCAGTGTCTTGTCACCATTAATACACTTTTAATAGTGTGTCCAGCTTATAACAGTGTTGCATAATGTGGCTGGTACGTTATAATAATCTGGTGACCTATATAAAGTTTTGATTTATATTTTGCTTGCCTTTGCACCCATATCAAGTGGTAAGGCGTCACTTCAGTGAAGATCTAAATTAAGATTCTTTTTTCAAGTAATTTTATTTAGTAAATAAAATTAAATTTGGTTGACATAAGTATGTTCTGTGATGCCATGTACTAAATTTGGTTTTCTGCCTATTCAAATTGTAAAAATTGGATACCTCGTTACTTTTAAACAGTAGAAAAAAAAAAAAAGAAAAAATCTTTACAACTTATTAGTTTCTTTTTTTCACACGCTTTGTAGAAACAAAACTTTATTTTAGGCTTAATTTTGTTTGTTTACTTTTAAAACTTAAATGGAAAAGATACTTCTGATTTCCTGAGGTTCTGTATACATCCTCTCTCCCTCTCTTTGTAACATGTACACATTTTGAGGCATTGATTTTCCCTATAGGAGCACATCACTATCTTCTTAATGATTGCCTGTCTGGCAGCTGATGATTTTCCTTCTGCACTTAAAGAAAAAAGTCTTATCCAAAGCCTGCTGAAAGTGGTGAGAGTCTTTTAAAACATTGTGTCTTTGGATCCAAACCAGACACAAATTTGCCTCCCAGGTTGCAACCTATTGATGCAACCGTCAGCCTTAATGCTTTGAAGCACATATGAGGTTGGGAAGAGATTTTTTTTGTTGCACAAGCAGGATATGTCTGAAAATAACTCTGAAATGCATCCCCCCTACCCCTAGAATATTGTTAAGGTGGTTTTGACTTTTTTTTTAATATTGTGACCATGCAGTATTGTGCATAAATGTTTTTACCTTGTTTACTTCCTGACAGTATGTATACTGCATTGTAATTAAAATAATGAAGTGTATGTATTATTGTATAGCTGTACAAATAGAATACCTATGTTTCATTTATAGATATTTGCCAGGAGCTAATGTGGCATGAAGATTGATGAGTAAAGCAGCAGTACCAAAATCTTTTAAATGTCTTGAAAATCATGCATTTTGCTGTCTTTTCTTCGCAGGGACCATATCTGTGAACACATTACGCACACCATATACTGCACCAGGGGAAAGTGAAATCCTTGACTTGGATGATGACTTGTATCTTGGAGGCTTACCAGAAAATAAAGCAGGCCTCGTCTTCCCAACTGAGGTGTGGACAGCACTTCTCAATTATGGATACGTCGGCTGCATTAGAGATTTGTTTATTGATGGTCAAAGCAAAGATATTCGACAGATGGCTGAAATTCAAAGTACAGCTGGAGTAAAACCCTCATGCTCAAGAGAAACTGCAAAACCTTGCCTTAGCAACCCCTGTAAAAACAATGGTGTATGCAGGGATGGGTGGAACAGATATGTTTGTGATTGCTCTGGTACAGGGTACCTTGGCAGATCGTGCGAAAGAGGTAGGTTCCATGAGATGACTGCATTTCTACTTTATAGAATCCTGGACAATGATTAAAAATGGTAGAATACCATTAACTTTTCTGAGGCAGAAAAAGCATCTTTGATTTCACTTGATGTGAGATGGAGCCCTGCTCTAGTATGAAAGTAGTAACTGTAAAGGAAAGATCTTAGGGGAGTTTCTAAGATGCATGAAGATGTATTAGTTGACTATGACAGAGAGTCGGTGCTGCTAAATATCTCTTAGAAAATATCTCCTTTTGTGTCTCATCATACATTGCTGAGTTCTGAAAAGCTTTGTGAAAGTAATTTCTATTATTATTGCATTACTAAACAGTCACATACCAATTCCAAACTGAGGTCTTGTTCTCTGCCTATTTATGTCAATACCACTGTGTAATTAAATTTACTTCTGAATTCCACACTATCACTTAAATCCATGGCCAGAACTTCAGCCATGTGTCAAAGCAAAAGAATGGGTGTAGGAATCTATAGTTCTTACTTAACATTTTAAAAAGACTGTAGTACCCAAGGAAGCAGTTTCTGCTTATCTTAAATCACTGAGTATCCCTCTTGCCTAGAAAAGGTAAGTGTAAAGGTGACAAACTCCATCTATTTCATTGAAAATGTGGATAGTGGCAAGGAAGACAGATACTGAGATTAGTTTATAGAAAGAAAACTCTATAATTTATTTAAAATTACAGAGTATGCTAATAAGATTTTAATGTCAGTAGAAAAACAATCAAAAGGCTTAGTTAATATTTTAGGTGTTTATTCTCACTGCATTAGGAAATGTTTCAATGACAGAAGTTGTATTTTTTCATCTCACAATTGATACGGTACAGTTTCTCTTCAAGATGAAATCTAAACCTAACGTTTATTGGCTGGGAACGCAAGTTCTTTCCTTCTAGGTTGATTCATTTTTCTAGTTACTAAGAGGAAACAAAAATGTATTCTTTAAAAATAAAAACCAGATGGATGTTTAAGTTTTATGTAAATAGACATGTGCATTTATGTAGAATTAATACCATCATATTATTAGCATTTGCAAGTAGACTCACAGTTTCTTCTGGTTTTTCTGTCTTATTTTTTGAATATATATGCCTTTGGCTTATGGCCAGTTATTATGAGATCTCCAGATTGTTCTGTTACTGGTGGAGTGAAGCTGGCAGAGGGCAAAACCGAGCTGTCTGATGCATTACAAAAGCCTTCACTTAAACATGTCTGGTGTACCACCCTGTGGCAAAATTCTGCTATTACATATGGCAGACGTAAAAATAAGATTTGCATTTTTTCAACTTAAGAGCTAGGAAACATGTGCATCAGAGACAAAAACACATGCAGATCTGCAAATAACTTAAAAGCAGGCTTCATCATCGCAATTTCTCATAAACATATTTGACAGGTGGCAATGTTTAATATAGAAACCTTTGTCCTTTTTATTTCCCATGCTTTATTTTCAGCGATCTTCCAATATAGAGCTTGATTTTCTCAGTGGGAGAATTCCCCTAGTGGGAATGGGGGTACAATGGTGGTGGTGTTGGCTTCTCTACAATGGTATTTGGTTCTTGTCCAACAGAAAGATGTACGGCAGTTCAGACAGTATGGGATCATTTCCCGCTCTTGGGTTTCCCTCTCCAGAGGAAACTACACTGAAAGGAGATCTCCTTCCAGTAATATTCATATCCCAAATGGTCATGCATTAATAAGATTATAGCTTTGGGGATTCTGAAAGCGACGTGTTGGCATCCTCCCCCACAAAGTTATTGTAACTACTACCCATGTGCAGTAACTGATAAACTTTTGTATGTGGTGATATAAGCAACACAATTATAGTTGTTCAGACTAATTTAAATAAAATAGGAACATTTTCATTTCAACAAACAATACAGTTTCACAAAGAAAAGAAAGCACTAGAATCAAATATTGGAGATTAAACAAGGACTATTTAACTTATCTTCAGTAAACAAAAGCATGTAGCTCCTTTTTAGTACCATCATTTATTTCTCATGCTATTTCCCCTGAAATAGGAGTACTAACATATGTGAAACTATAAGTACTAACATATATGAAAATTATGTTAGTACTTGCAGTATCTGAAATAATTTCCATCAATATCTGAAATAATTTTGGTCATCTTATCAGTGCACAACAGCACAGAACACAATTCTATTTTAATTTCAGTATATTTAAAATTGAATTTTTTTTCTATATCCATGTACTTTTTATCTTGTTGCAAGTTATTCTTGAGTTTATTCTTGTTTTTCAGTAAGGTTAAACATCAGCATAATCTGTAGATTGGCTTTAGTAGATTATGGAAACTACAACAGATGGACGGACAGATGTCACAGCAATATAATTTGGCTTCCTATCGTACTTTGATTGTGGATCACAATATGTGACTGCCTCTCAGCAAAGCCTTTTGCAGGTGTATACTTTTGACAGGATGGCTAGGAATGATGCACAAGAGTAAATTCATCAAACAATGATGAGAAAGAGTAAACATGCAAAGAAACATTTATCAAAGTGACATTTCTGAGGAGAAAATATATTTAAATTAGAGTGTGTGTGCGTAGATGTCCACATTGTGCATGCACACACAGGTACATTAGATAAAGAAATATAGCTTTCATTCCTTGCATTATCTCTGCATGCTTTAAAATTTGGAAAAGAAAAAAAAAGACAAATACAGGTAATGCAATGATAGATGGTATGAAGAACCATGTGTTCAAAATATTATAGTAATTCCATCTCTGACTTAATTAGTCCTGTGTGTTAAAGTTCTAGCACCTTTACAGTGTGGCCTAGCGCCTCAGCTCTGAAATAATACCAGCGTAGAAATTTGGAGGAATCATTTCAACTTCTATTCACGTATTATCTAGGAAGTAATTGCTTATCAAGAATTGTTTCCATCAGATTGATGGAAAGGTTCCTCATGATTCACCAATTAGCCCGGATGGACTGAAGTAGCTGCCATAGAAAACACGCAAACAGTGCTTACCTGAGTGTACGCCTATGAATAAAACAAAACTTAAAAGTTTGAATTTGAATCAGTGGCCATTGATATACTTGAGTACCCACACAATTTATAAGAGTAAAATTATATATATCAGTGAGTGTTTTCAGGGCAGGATATTGTTGGTCTACTTATATTGGTAAATAAAACAGGGTCAGAGAGCAAACCTGAATACTTGATTATTGATGATCCAGATTGTTGACATGCTTCCTGGCATGGCTCTGGACTGTATCGTCTGTCACCTTCTGGGCAAAGTTTGTGTTTGATTTTGGAAACAGTAGACACCGAGAGTGATTTCATGCTTTAAAAAATGGATTTGTGGGCTGCAACACAGTCCTCATATTATTGCAGACACTTTGAGAAAGCCGGAAAAATTAATAATTCTGTCTTTAGGACTTTAGAGGTACCACAAGGGGTCCAGAGGAAACAAGATCCTGTTTTATTTATTAAAATACATGCAGTAAGCATCCATAGTTACCAAGCATCATGTTATTAAAAACAAAACAAACTTGACTGCAAAATTTATGAGGAAGAACACTGAAATTCAAATGCCTACTCCATACTTCTTTCACTTTAATTTAAATAAGCTTTGAATTGTAGAATAGCATCTATTTGGAAAATTCTGTTCCTCCACATAAATATCCAGCTGAGCATTTCTGAAGGTAGAAACAGGTGTAGGAAAGTTTCCAGAAGCATAGGTGCCTCCATCTCTTCAGCAATTCAGGTAATGCCAGCCCAAGGGAAAATTAAAGTCCTGAATCTCCTCTCATATCGGTACTAGTCTGTGCATCCTTCATGATAGGCACAGAGCTGGTTGAGGTAGTATTTATGTAGGAAGGAAGAGTGTCCAGCCCTGGAGATTTTAATCAGCAACAAATTGAAAAGAAAAATGCAAAAGGGAACTGAATCCTTCAGTGTTTCTTTGTTTTTTTGGTTTGTTTGGGTGTTTCGGTTGGTTGGGTTTTAGCACAGAAGCAGTAAGGGGTTTTAATTGTCACATTTATAAAAATATTGAAGAAAGAACACATAAAATATTTTTTATCAATCTCTGAATTATATCTTACTGTTTATTTCTTGTTAATAACTCTATTGCATGCACTTATTTGCTGCCACAAAAAAAAAATGTCAGTAATGTTTTATAAGGGTTTTCTGCTATTTTTCTTTTAAATGCTATGCTTGCAACACTGAAGTGGTAGTAAAATTATTATTCCCTGCCCTGGAGACTCTGATTCTTTTAATGAATAACACATTCTGAGCTAAACTTCTGGTCTATTATCATTTACTCTAATAATTAAGAGGAAGCTGAACAAGAGAAAAAAGACATTCTGCCACCACTTACGTGAGAACAGTTAGCAGTGTAGATCTCAAAGAAGGATGAGACATATACCCCTTTGGAATTAGTTGGTCCAAAGCAAAAAAAGGGAAGTTAGGGGCAAAAATTAAGATATACTTTTAGCCAAAATGTTTCTTCAAGGTTTGCATAATAGGTGTAACCCCCACTGCCTTTCCTCGTTCAGATCACCATCTTACTGCCCAGGCCTTGCAAGTGAACAATCCATTCTGGACAACTGAAGTAACTACAGGATGGAAACAATTCCATTAAATAACTGAAACAATCTCTATTTCAAAGAAAGTAAAAACAAAACAAGCCCTTTTTATTTCTTCTTGAAAACTGCTTTTTGCTACTGTCTGAAAAAACAGTTCTCTCTTAAGGCATGTGACCAAGCAAAATGATAGGGTAATAAGGCATTGCCACAAAGAATTACAAGAAAAACATCAGTGAGGGAAGAGGGAACTCCTTGTGCTGTCGAAGGTCTCGTAGGTGTACTGCTAGATGCCTTCTGTCCAGCCAAGACCAAGTGAACACGGAAATTTGCAGAGCTGAGGGCAGTGCTGAGTCAAGTAGAAGAGATGCTGAGTTGAATAGATGATCCACAAGGCAAAACTCAGCTTTGGCATCCTTAGAGAGGAGCACAATATTGAGAAAGTATCGTTCAACCTTCTTAACATAGCAATCACTTAATAATAGTTTAACAACAAATATTTTTCCTAACAACACTTGTACCAACAGACTCATTCCAAGTGAGTACACTGAACATTTTAGGAATATGTAGTGCCTCTGATCTTCAGTTACGGCTTTCAGGACAGTGCTAAATCTTTATTCAAATCATCCCTGCTTCCTGCCGGTTTTCTGGTTTTGGCTGGGTTTGGTTTTTTTTCTGTGATACCTTTGTATTTAGAAAGCCTGTGACTTGGAGCTCCCCATACTGAAAGGAGCTGGTTGACATGAGGGGGTTTTCTCATTGCCCCAGAGCTTTTAAGTCATTTGATCTTCTGTTCAGTCTCCTTGGTCTGTTCTTGGAACATCTGTTTCCAAAATAACTGGCACAGTATGGTTTAGGAGGATTGAGTATCTAATCACATCAGGTCTGTTCACCATGATGTTAAATACTCACAGGTCATCTCTGATTAAATTAAGACAGTTCCTTCTCTCCTTTTTCTGTAATTTTCTAAAAGACTGAATAATTATAGGAAAGCTGGCAAACACTACCAGTGCTGATTCTGACAACTTTCTTTTAATGATCATAATTTATTAGCAACAGACCTCGAGTGTTGTTGAATGCTGTTCATCCTATAACCATCTGATTTTGCTGAGTTTATGAAAACCCTGAATGGTATTACTGTGTCTTAATAAAAAATATAAAATGCCTTTTATTTTCTCTTATATTAGCATGTAACTTAAACTTTTATGCCGGACTTCTTTAATCACCTAAATCATGTTTACTTCTGCAAGGATCTTGGGAGACTAGACAGCTAGATATAGGAGTGAATTGTAAGCCCCTGCTCCCCCCACCCAAAAAAACGCAACAAACCAAACCCCAAACCACCACCCAAACCCCCTAATTCTGGCGATTAGTAATTTTTTTCCAACATCAAACCATTTTCTTCAAATTTTTATTGGGGAAGTATTAATGAACATACATCGTTTTTGCCTCCAATATACTCATAGAGTTAGCGGACATTTTCCTTCCATGGAAGTCTTGAAGAGCTTCTCTATATTTACCAGTGTATAAGACATGCAGTGGAAAACGGTTTGACAAACTGGCATAAGTACTTAAAAAAAAAAATTCTAACACTGTTTTAGTTATGATACTGATTAAACATAGTAGCGGTCTTTGAAAATATTGTTGCATGTGGGACCACAGTACACCTTTGCTGTAGATAAGCGTTTCCATTATCCTGTGGCAAATTAAAGCACAGAGAAGTTTCCCGTAGGTGTTCTCTGCTGTCTTCTCTTTCTGCTTGTTACTCATTTGGCCTGTTATTGAGCAAGTAACTGATTTTTTTTTTTCAGTCAGTTGAGGTGCCCTCAGGATTGCATCTTTTTCTAAGAAAGATTGTGCAGCATCCTGGTTAGACCTCACCATCTAACACGTCAACAGTTTCTAAGATTGAAGAGGTTTTGGGTGGGTTAAAGAATGTAGGAGACACATGGAAGAAGTTAGAAAGTCTCTAGTGAATTAGAGATAGATAAATAATCAGATGTGCATAAAATGGGGCACATTCAGATAGTATATTTTGTCACTCACACGGTGGTTTTAGTTACGTAGTATGGTTAGTTTTGTATGTTACTGTGGAGCCTACTGAAATTCCTGGCGGTCTGCCCACTCACTATTGCCTTGGGGTAAAGGATGTTGCTCGTTCACTGCTTCTTCCACCATAACGTGCCACTGTCCGTGGGCCTAAGAGCCATTTCCAAAGGCTGTGGTGGTGAACTGGCCGCAATGCTTGATTGTCCTGCAAAAAAGGACTATTACATGTTTCAGAAACAGATGTGTCCTTTGCTTTCCAGGAACTGCTGTGCCTCCCTGTGAGCAAAATGCAATCTTTCTGCTACCTTTCTCATTACCAGCCTGGAGGCTGGGAAAAGAAGACTTGTGGCTGGTTGCTCTGGGTTAACAGGCTGTGACCGCTCTGTGCCAGGGCCGCTTGCCGGGAGGGTTTCCAGTAATGTCTGAAAGTGACAGTTATTTGCTTGTCTCAAGGGTTTTAAGATCTTACCCTCAATATGCCAAGTCCAGTCTCGATCCTCTCGTTGAGGCTGTCGTAATGTTCATACGCGCGGTTTATGATTCTATCATACCGCAGCCATTGTGGTCACGAAGCAATCTGTGCTCCGTCCGAACCATGCTGGGGATAGTTACCCATTTCAGGTGGCTTTTTGCTAGCTGGGTGATAATTGTAACTGTGTGGTAGTAGCAATCCTGACAGGTTTATACATGAAGTATCCTAAGGTAATTACCTAGGTGGATGAAAGTCAGACATGACCTTTTAATAGGCTGTAAGGTTTACCTGCATAGCTCTTACTGGCTTTGACCTATTTTGAGGAGTACAGGCCCAGTCTTGCAAGCATTTCTTCATATGTAATTTTACCCATGTGCTTGAAGTTGCATACATGAATGGCTGGTTCATTAAAACGGCAATTTTGTTTCTTTAAAAAGCACTAAAATATGCCACCTAAAGAAACCGACAAAAAAAACTAACAAAAAAACCAAACCCAACTTTGCTTATGTTTCCCAGTAATAATTGTCGTATGTAATTTTTCTGTGTCATACTGAGTGTATATGCATTTACCATCTTCTCTTTGAGCAGTTGCAGTAAACACAATATAACTCTTTAATAACTGATTTTCTCCTTTATGTTTTCAGAGGCAACAATTTTAAGCTATGATGGCAGTATGTTTATGAAAATACAACTCCCTGTTGTGATGCATACAGAGGCTGAAGATGTTTCTTTACGGTTCAGGTCTCAGCGAGCTTATGGCATTTTAATGGCAACAACTTCTAGGGAATCTGCAGATACCCTTCGTTTAGAATTGGATGCAGGACGAGTTAAACTAACGGTCAACCTAGGTAACAAACTCTTCCTCCAAGAAATTAACATTTTTCTTTACATTTTTCTTTTTGCTTGCAAACATTTATGAAACAGCCTGTTTTAGCATTAAAAGTAAACTGAAATGATATATAAACACGTGTCAATGCAACATTTGCATATGTACATACACACACAAATACATGCCCATTATTATTCTTTATTTTGTTTTCTTTTGCATTTTTGTATTCTTTATATAGTCTTAACATACTCCATCACGATATTTTTGTACTATTGTATATTCTAAAAAAAGAAGACTAGTTCATCAGTGGTATTTTTGGGCTGAATTATTATTCTTCATTGTGGAAGTTTTTTCTCCCTCCACTACTACTTCACAGTAGCAATTCCACAATTTAAATGTGCGAGCAGTACCAACGTGTATGTAGGTCAGCTCAGTTTTACCTCCGCCAATTAATGTATGACATGCAAATGTATCAAAGAATTACTAGTTTTAACACTGAATATGTTGCAATTAGATATTCCCACTGATGGATTTCTTGGTCTCCTTTTTTTAGGTGTCAAATCTATAGTAAATCCATTTCCTCTTTTTTAAACAATTCTGTAGTGCTATTTTTGTAGTATCGAACTATAACACAACCCTTCAATGCCCAAAGACTGCGGCCCTCAGCAAACAGCCGTGTGAACGCAGGAGGCACAAGCCCTTTTACAGAAAAAAATAAAATAAAATTGGTTTCCTGGTTTGAAATATGATGGACAAAATATTAGGTTATGGTTTTCTCTGGTTTAAAAAAAGTAAATAAAGCGCTTCTGCCATGCTTATGAATAAATCAAAGTCAGGATCTGAAAGGAGTGTACCTAGGGAAATGAAATGCACATTCAGTGCAGTCATTCCCGTTCAGCGGAATGCTAATTTTAAAGGGAATTAAGTATGTTATTGTTGTAATCGCACATAAAATGATTTCCAGAACACATGGGGGGGGGGGCAAGAAAATAATCC